ATATATATATTAAAGACTCTTAAAAAACATCTATAGGCGAAAATTGAAATAGTGTTTCGCCTCAACCCGTGGCGGTTTTACCTTAAAAACCGCCACAGAATCTACGAGAGCGGTAGAGGTTGCTCAAGTTCTTTTGCGTGAAAAATACCGCATTGCAGTATCGCAATGGATATGTTATGTCTGTGGCGGTCTTTTTAATCCACGCCATCTAAAAAAATCTAACGGCATCAAGCCTGTGGTAGAAAATACTATACATTTTCGCCCATAATATATATATGTGTGTACATGCGTGTGTGCGTGCATGACCGCTCTATCTCGCATGTGTATGTGACCACTCTATCTCGCATGTGTATGTCAGCATGCATCATTAATCAACCTATTAGCTTTAGGTATGATGAATTACAGTTGAACCACATTATTACCTCATAAATGGCCGTCACCATAGCAGATGTGTCATGTATGTTTCCAAATGCACTTAGCGCTTTCCCTAGCAGTAAGTACCCAACTGGTTGTGCCATGCCATGGACGATAGCACCCACGGTGCCCATGGCCATGAGCATGACATCCCCCATGTCTGCATAAGAGAGTAGCTTATAAAATGGTAGAGAAGTTCTTTCATGGCTTTTGCTCTTCTCTTTCTTTTCCTCCTCTTCTTCCTGGTTCTTGGTGTAGGCAATTTGCTTCTCTTTCTCACTCTCCTCGTCTTGATCTTTTGTGGCCATGGTGGCTAGTAGTTTGTTATGAGGAACTTCTTTCCTGGCTTTGATTATTGGTTTTCTTTCCCTCCTTGTGTTCATATATATGTGGTTTATAAATCCAAGGAGGAAGAATAGAATATTTGGTGGATATGCTTGTGAAAAATATTGGAGTGGCCGTCTTTGGAATTGTCTTAGCTGTCTTAATTCATCATGCATGCCCAGCTTGGTGCCAAGAGAATCAAATAAAAATGAAGAAAACGACGCATGGGTTTATGGGATGGATTGGTGAGCTATTCCAACTGTATCAAACTCAAAGAGCTAGAGTAGATTGTTTTACCTTATAATATTGAGTAAAATTTATATCTCGTGCCATATTTATTTATTGTTATTGTGGATTGGTCCAAAGATACGGAAAATTTACATGGAGGTATATACCGGTCTGATGTTTGGAACATTGTACATGTACTTTTTTTAAGAACACTTCATGCTTCTTTTTATTTTTTCTCTATTTTGTTCCAAAGTCCGATAATCAAAACATCGGACCTAATTTATTTATTTTTTTCCCTTTTTTTTTTCTTTTTTAAGGTGTAGGCTGTCTAATGATTCACACAACGGATGGATATTGGTTGCTCCATATTTAAAATATTGGATAGGCGGTGGCCCTACTTTTAACTTGTATCTGATATTACGAATATTGGACTGATAGTACTCTTTTAGCTTCGATCTGATATTTAGTATATCGGACATATTTTAATTTAGTTTGATCTTACAAATATCGGACTGCGATTTGGGTATATTTCACTACTAGTTATTCGAACCATTTCGAAATGGGAGCTGGAATGGGCATTTGAACCGCACACCAAACACCAAACTGAGAGATCCGAGGACCTCGCTCCATACCATATATGAATATGGTAATTACCGCCTCGTTCAATTTTATGGAAAATTTATGCGGAGGTCCAACCTTTTTTTACCAGATTTGCCCCTCAATCCAATAGTCTAATATCGAACCGGTTTACCCTCTCTCTCTCTTTTCTTTTCTTTTTTTTAATTAAGTGTAGGGCACTCAAGTTGGACTGCCCTCATATTTTACTTGTGGTGGTTCAATATTAGAAACATCAAATAGGCTTATGCTTTCATTCACGATATTGCATACATCAGACTGGTTTTTGGTGAGCTTTTTTTTTTTTCTGCCAAATGTGAAACATAGGGCATAAAAGCCCTGTTGTTTCAATTCTTCTCGCAGAGAAACCCTACACTCTTTTCCTACTCCTATCTTCCTCCCTCTCACTCTTACTTAGATCAATGGAATGTTTCATACCTAGGATAGTTCAATATTGCAAACATCAGACTGTCCAAGATACCACCCTCAACCTAAGAGTCCTATGCTTCAAACCAAAACAAAAAACATAAGATAAACCGGTTGACTATTAGAATTACCAACCAATGGGCAAATCTAGTAAGAAAAGGATTGGATCATTGCATAACTTTTCCATAAAATTGAACTAGTTTGTAATTACCGTATTGAAATACGATAAGGATGTAATTTTTCCTAATATAAAATCTTTCTTATTTTGTATGATTAAAATTTTAATGTTGTCCAAAGAAAGTGTCCTAAAAGAGGTGACAAGAATTACCCAAAAAAATAAAAAAAAGGTGACAAGAAAAAAAGTTCACGTACTTGATTTATTGTAGATATCATGCCTTATCAAGTGACCATTCTCTATTATTGTCATCCCTTTCATGCACATATATGTTGTTTATAATCACCCAATCTATCTAAGCAATAGCCCTAACTACATTATTACTTGAAGAAGCATGGTTTTTTCTCTGATGCTTGGAGTGGCTTGTTACTTTTGGCTTTTCTATTTGTCCTTCATAAATATTACAAGTGAGCTAAATTTTGAAGATAAAAATGCCATTTTTGTAATCTTTTGTTAGGGACATGATCGACAGGGCAGATTATGTATTCAAATTAATTCAAAACAATCTCCTCTGGGAGTTATTACTTGAAGAACCGGGCGTATTACTTTGCAATAGCTTGATTGTTTTTTTTATGCTTGGAGTGGCTTGTTACTTTTGGCTTTTCTGTTTGTCCTTCATAAATATAAAGTGAACTAAAATTTGAAGATAAAAATATGCCATTTATGTATGCTTTTGTTAGAGATATGATCGACAGGGTAGATTATGTATTCAAATTAAATCAAGGCCCAAAATTTTATTTTCATCTCTAATTGTAAAATTGAAGGATTAAAAAATAGTGTAGATCAAGCAAATATATGAACACTTAAAAATCTTGAAAATTGACAACCTACATAATGCATTACAACTTGCACTATTTCCTAAACATGAAATTTATTTTATCTCATGCCCATACATCTTGAGGTTGATATGATTGAATTGACGGTTTTTTAGCATCAAAACAACCTTTTCTAATAATTTTTGAAGTGCACCTTAATTTAATTGTTTAGGGCCTCACCCTTATATAATTTTTTCCTTTCTCAAATACCATGTGAAAATAACTCAAATTATTCTTCTACCTCCCTCCATACTATATGGCACAACATGAGCCTTCGGAAAATTTTCATTCCCAAGTGACTTGGGAAAATGATTTGTTTTCCGGAAATGCTCATGATTTGTTGGGCTGCTACATGTGATTGGATCTATTTCTATTTCGAGTTCCATAAAATATTGCCCTTTACTTTAAACGTAAAAATTGATATTTTCTAACTATCCCATGCAAAATGGTGTCATTTATTGTGTGTCTGCACCCAAAATGTGCAGAGGGTGGCTTCAAAATAAGCCACTAATATACATTTTCAAAGGGATATGGTTTGCACAAGGAAACACGCAAAGTATGGCACGCCTCCAAACTTTATCATATGATGCAATTTGGTGTTGAAAAGTTTTAGGATGGCTGGAAAATCTATTTTCATATCTAATTATAAAAATTTAAATTTCAAAAATTGTACAAATCAAGTAGATCTATAAACACATGAAAATCTTGAGAATGGATGGTCTAGATAATGTTTTGCAAGATCTACTACTTTTAGGATTTGAAATTTTTTTTTTTTTCATATTCACATATATCAATGTCGAGATAATCGATTAGATGGTTTTTCAACATCAAAATACCTTTTTCCGAAAGACTTTTAAGGGGCGTCTTAATTCTACAATATAAGGTGTCAATCTTATATAAACTTTTTCCTTTTCAAAATAACATAAAAAGTTGGGGTTTGCCGCAGCATCTATCCCATAGTCATCCCACACTAGGGTAGTTTTATTGCAGGAGAGCACTTGTCGAATGTTGGGTTGCCGGTCACTTGGACATCGCATCTCCTGTTACATGAATCAAATGTTTCATTTCATAAGGGAAAAGCTATCTTTTTCTCTTATGTGTATAAGGGACTTCGCATTGTAGAGGGACATCGCATTGTAGAGGTCCTTCAACGAGCTTCACAATGGACACGGTTGAGTATGTGTATTTTCTTGGTTGGCCGCCTTTTTAGAATGAGGCATAGTGACACAAGCACAAATAGCCGCTCAATCTGCAATCGGAGATGTGGCCATAGGCTACTGAGGCATCTGCAAGGTTCCTACTAGAAGGGTAACTTCTTCCTTCAAGGAGGAGCTCGATTCCATTTGTCCTCAACTCGATTGAGAGGAAACCAAAAAGGGAAGAGGAGCACCAATCCCTAGTGGAGTCGCCGCATGATGTTGGGCAATCTCTAGAGCCCAAAGAGTGATAGTGCAAATGTGGCTCAAAAAATGCTCAAACGCCGCAACCTGCTTAGGCGATTAGCCCTATGCAGAGTTTTTTTAATTTATTTTTGAGTAAATTGGTTCAAAGGTGTCTTCAGATACCTTATTAATTACATTCAGAGAAAGCAAACAACTCTTGTTTTAATTAGATTAACACCCCAACTAATAGAGAAAAGCAAAAAGTTGAGAATATAAAGACACAAAGGGACCAAATTATCCTCCCTATGAAAAAAAGTACCAGATGAGCATGAGTATAGCCAAAACCTTGTGGCTAAGGAATTTCATAAAAAAAATGCCAATGATTGTCTTAGCCCAAGGTCCATGATTCAAAAGAGAATAAAAGAACAAACTTCCGCACAAGAAGTTCCAATTGAAGTAGAAGGAATAAACTTGCAGCAGGCTCAAGACACCCCTATCCTAGATAGCAGGGCAGGGGTAGATGATCCAAATCTTGAGTTTATAGATTCTCAAATTCAAATTGAGGAGAGTAACTGTAGCCAAAATTTTGAAACTCAAAAAAATGAGGAACGTACAAGAAAAATCTCAATTCTTGGCGAAAAAACGAGCGCACAAAAAATTCAAGACATCCTTGTGATACATATCACCACAAAAGAAAATGATCACATCTTTCAAATAAGTGTAGTGGGTGGCCCACATGAGGCTCAAGTCATCCATAAGCTCAACCGAGATCTAGGGATTATCAAGACTACAATTGGGAGGAATTCCTTAATCTCGACATTGCAATCCACGAAGAAACAAAAGAGTCAAGCCTAGAGGATTCAATTGAACTATCCCTGAATGTGAACCCAAAAGTAGATCCGTCCCCTCAAGAATGGATAAAAGAAATTGAACCTCTAGAAATCCTAAGAGGCCCACCTGGGCCACCTTCACTTGACTTCTTAGCAGATCCACCTATTTGGGATGAAGAGCTAAGCCTAAAGCAGCCAATTACATCAGTTACTATGATTGATCTAACAATCAATACCGAAGAAGCGAAGGATCCAAATTTGATCATTCTTGAAGATTTAAAACCTCTGGAAGAGTTACAAGAAATCAAACCCTTAGGCCGCCTGGGCCACTTTCACATAATTTTTTTAATAACCCGCCTATATGGGATGAAGAACCAGACATTAAAAATCAAATCATATTATTCCCTGAAGAGAAAGGATCCAAAGAAAATGATATAGGCAGGGGCATGACTCCATTACTTGAGGCACCCCACATTCAAAGAAAAACGGAAGATCCAACAGGGGCAGTCCTAT